AAACTTAATCCTGACAGATATCCGACAGTTTACTAAAGAATGTATGCAATAGGAGGATTTAAAGAAATATTTTTGACTTTTAACCTTTGAAAAGAACCAGTTTTAATAGTGATAAAACAATGCTTGGCATATTCAATGTTTTAACCTTGTGCATATTTTAACACAAACATATTCACAAGGTTAGGTTAGATATTTTTCAAGGTCGGTATTTTTTTTTAAGGATTCATTCGATCGTCTTATTATACAATGTTTGATAAAATGTGGCATAGTGGTGTTTTTGTTTCACGCCGTCTGACATTATTTGACAAAACCCGAATAATGTCGTTTATTTATAAGTAACATCACTATTTCTATAAAACAGCTAAAGTTAGTGCCTTTATGGAAATAAGTATAATGGGGTCAGGTCAACCGTTCACCATATCTTTAGTGCCTCAAGTTTTCTTCAAATCACCATTAGGATCGATTCCCACATTGCGTAACTGATATCACGTGTTACTCGAAAGGTCTTATTCCAATCTTATTAATAACAATTTTATGTGTTGCCACCAACAAAAATACAGAGATCCCGTGTTTTGCAAAAAAAAATTTAACAATAAAATTCATCATTTCATAAATTATTATCAAATAAATGTTCCAAGTTGAAGGTGAAGTGAAGAAGAAAGTAGTTTTTTATTTATTTAGTGCTGTAAAATGAATGAACTCCTTTTAGAATTAAACAAGATGGTCGGATTACGGATTAGTAAATAATCTGATTTTATGGATTTTTGCTGTAGAGAGATATCACTTCTTGGCAAACTCAACGAACTTAAACAAGGGCGTAAAATTCGCATTCAAACGCTCAGTCACAAACTAGCCGCAAGCCGAAAATACACCTTTACTATTACATGGGCCTACACCTCAGTGCGTTATATTTTATTGTTACAAGTTCTTTATTGTTACTTTTTATGTCCAGAGTTCTCGCTTCCATTTCTACCATTTGGTGCGAAAGGTGTTTTGAAGGTGTTTTTTTTTTGTTTTAGCCATAATTCGTTGTTCCACGTACCAGTATTACTTGCCTTTTCCGTCTACAATAGACATGTGACAATAGAATTCAATGGATTTGGTAGCTTTATGGAGTTCTTAGTACTCCCTGACATGAAATTGAGTTTTACGGTACGGCTTATTATGGTTAGTGAATAATCAACTTACCTATGAAAAGAAAATTTGAATATAAAAACTATTAAATATATAAACTTCACCCTTCTCACACATGGCAGTCTGATACCAAATTAAGCAGAGCCTGTATTACGAGTATGTTAACCAGATTGTCGATATACATATTTGTATATTTCTAAATACAACAGATTGTGGATAAATTTCAAGCACGTATAGAACAAATTATCGTGCTCATCAGACAATTCTTTGTCCTTTGTGGGAATTGAGCCCAAGACCTCTGACTCAGCCAGTCAGGTTCACTAATCACTAGACTTGACTAGACAAGTAGGCTAGTCGATAACAAAATCCATAAAAAAGCTTAAAGTTACCATAAGTTGTCATGGTTTTAGGAAAGGAGTAGTAGCTTCAGGTAACGTCATTGCTCCCCCTTAACAAAATGGCTATGAACATATAGCATAGATTTTATAATACACAAATGGTGATTTAATATTACTAACAGATTTTTTTATTTTCGGACATCTGACACACAACGCTATCTAGTATCAAACTAACCAAAGCTTGTACTATGAAAGCCAGAGTGACTGATAGAATACTGAGACACTTTTTTTTTTCTTAAATACATACATATTATACATAGAAACACCCAAACTCCGAAATAAACATTTGCAGATCATACAATCGTTTGTTCCGACCAGCGAGTGGAACCCGAGACCTCAGAGATTAAAGAAAGATTAAATATAGAATTCTGTTTAGACAATTCCATAATACGTACATCATAGTTCACTGCTGGACATAAACCTCTCCTTAGAAAGGAGGTTTTGCCTTCGTACATCATGGATTTTAAATTAACTTAATTATATTTTCAAAACAAACAAACTTGATTAGAAAAATAATCATATTACAGACATTTGTGTTCATGTTTCGCGACGGCATGGCGGCATGTTTAAACATTACCGTAAATCTTCCACCAAACCCACCCACTTCAAATAAGTCGTAAGTATATCAAGAAATTCAACAATCGATTACTCTAGCCCGCGTTGTTATGCAACTGCCCCAAGGTGCACCCACTAAGGCGACAGGCCGGTCGATCCTATGCAGTCAATAATTCACCCCAAGAACACGAGTGTGGCTAATTTTACACCCTAACCTACCCAGGTTGCTTGTTTTTACTTTAGGTTGAACGTCATGGGGAATATGTGCCGCTGTTATGACGCTATAAGGTCGATTTTATATTTTTGTTAGATGACTTGAAAATAACAATAAGATTGATTTTCAATTCGGCTCTATTTTTTTATGTTAGTTACTTCAAAACTCTATCATATTGATTGATTGATTTGGAAAATCCATGCTTCCATTATTTATGTGTGAAAGTAAGTTTGTTTGTTACGTTTTCATGCCTAAACCACTAAACTGATATTAAATATTCTTTCACCAATGGAAAATTACATTATCAGCAAGTAACATAGGTAACATTTTACTGCGATAATCGACATACACGCGGACGGAGCTATGAGGAAAAGCTAGCTCTAACTTCCCATTTGGTCCCATTTAAATTTGAAGTAAAAATCCCTCTCTAGAGTAACACAAGTACACATGATGTAGGCGCTTTGAAATCAGTAATATTTTTCAAAAGTTAATTATTTAAAACATCATCTTTACATATTATTTAAATTCTCTATCCAACATCACGGCCACATTTCTTTCAGAGTCTAAACGAGGCGTTAACGAACATAGCTATCGACACACATTTACACCAAAGAAAAATTTCTTATTGATTTTATTCGTTTTACGACAAATCAGTTCATTCAAGACTCAACAAATGCACTCAGTAAATTATCAATCAGGCCAAATCCGTGATATTAATAATAACTTGATACACCTTACACATGACCGACTAATCCCAAACTAGACAGAGACTGTACTATGGTAACCAAATTGCTGATAAACATACTTGTATATTTTCTAAATACAAACATATGATGCACTAACTACATCCAGACATAGAACAAATGATCGTGCTCATCACACAATATTTGCACTGGGTGGGAATTCAACTCACGACCTGTGGCTCAGCAGTCAGTATCGTAAGCAGACAGGCCAGTACTTGACGTCAGCAGGTTCACATGTATTACTGCTGTTGAGATGTGAACTTACAAATCGATGACAAGGGAAGCGCGGTGGCCAATATTTCCCTGCCTCTACATTACTTACTGCTAAGTTCAAAAATGTCCAGATAAATAAGTTTTGAGTTTGATATAGGGATTTTCACGAAACGGTCACGTAGTTGGTGTCTAGACAATTTGTAAACGAACTGTGACATATTTAGTATTAAATAGAAAATTAAAACATTATTTATTTTATTAAATATAGTATAAACACATTAAAGTAACACTAAAACATGATTGTTATAGTGTTACTAATGTCTTTATTAAAAGTATGAAATTTGAATTCTAAACTCATGACTGTATTATGTACTGTATTCGCCGCCCCCGCCACACTCATATTTTTCAAAACACAACCCAAAAGTCGCTGAAAAATGATACAATTAAAACCCAAAAGTCAATGACCGAATTATACACTTAATGCTAATTACGGTTTCGTTCATGACGGCCATAACCGCTAGAATTTAGACTTCAAATAGGAGAACAATATTCTTGGTATTCAGAACTCTTGGCCCTTAGCACAATTTTGACAGCCCCCGCCTACGTTGTTATGTCATGCCAAGTCTTTAACATTTTGTGCTAAAAATAGCTGAAATGAGTATAACAATCTAAGACTTACATCCTTTACAGCACTGGCCTGCAGGCCACTTTGTTATCTCATTGTAAAGTTTATTTATTCTGCGACCTTATTATGTAGTGCTTAGCTATTTGGCACACTGCCACCCGCTGTTACATTATTTTGGTTAATCACTCCTATTTTATACAACCATGTTGTTTTGTGTGACATTACGTGAATTGAAATGATGGCATATCGTTTCGGATTCGCTGGATACTAAGGGGCTTTGATCATATTCAATCAGTTGGATAATTAATGTTTCATATCTCTAGTTCTACTCTAGTTATCGGTTTATAATGATTATACATTTGTATTATATGTGTATGGTATTGAGCACATCTTGTATATGTTAAAGTTGATCTATTATAGAACTTTTTTCTTCGAAGTATTGGTAAATTAGAAAGGCAGTGTTTTATCCCTGAGAAAGCCATACTTCGTTATGTCTCGACAGGAGTGGTACAGCAATGCATCCAGCTTGATTCTTGAGTTGCAGATATATATGTTGGGTAGTAGTCACTTCCTATCAGGTAACCCGTCTGATTAAAGTTCTTGTCTAAAATAATCTTATTCTTAGTGAGCGTTAGGCAGTAAGTATCTTTAGTTTGCACATTCTAATGCCACTTTTATTATTTTGACTACTTCCAGTACTTTCCAAAACAATTAATTTAGAAACAAGAAACTACATATCGGCACTCAGTTTCTTACATAGCTGAAACAAGTTTCTTGTTCTACCTAAGTTTATAAAATAAATTTTATAGTCGAATATAGTTTGATTTTTTTTGATAATGACGTCAAATTTTTTGAAGTATATCTCCCCCTGCCTGTTATGCTTGTAAATCCACATGTATTTAATGCAAACTTTCGTTCTTTGCAGGGCTGATCCCGCAACATGAGGTGATAAACTTTCATAACTTCAAAGAAGAGCTGTAACCTGCACACCGATGGATAAGCCATAGTCTTGTAGACATGTTTCCATATTTTTTATCATTTTAGAAGTGCTGGTTGTTGGGACGATTTATTTTTAAAGTCAACTTCATATTAATAAGATTTCCTAAACTTTAAACAAAATGTGGATGTGTGCGCGGCTAGCACGGGCACGACTCGGCGTGGGCCCTCGAGCACGTCAAGTGACCAAGCGCGGGTGCTCATGACGACCTGGCCAGTGTAGCCGACAGCCGAGGCGACCACCGCGCACACTCCACTCCCTTCCTCACAGTCCCATTCTCGTTCCAACTGCTGCATTAAAGGTGGGCCATTTCAAATTAGGTAGGGACCGTAGGAAATAATTATTACAAGCATTTTCCGATATCCATCACTTTTGGAGACTGATCCTAAAGAAAGATTGCATCAATTTGTGCAGGTGAAACGCTGAATGGTCAGCGGCTGATAGAATTTCGACTCGGTGCGGAGGCCGAGTCGGAGCAGGGCGAGGGGCTGGCGGTGGCATCGGCCGAACTGATGGTGCGAGCCGAAACGTCACCGCGGGCCCGACGCCTGCGCTACACGCTGTGGGCCTTCACCGTCAGCGGTAATACTAGCAACGAAAGCGTGGCCATCAGCACGCTGGCGGGCGCCGTACGACGGGACCCCACACGCGCGTGGCAGCGCCTGGACGTGACGGGCGCCGCGCGGCGCTGGGCGGGCGGGGGCGCGCGCGGCCCGCTGCGCCTGCTGCTGGACTGCTCGGGCTGCGGCGGGCGCGTGCGCCTGCGGCTGGGCGGCGGGCAGGCGGCGCGGCCGCTGCTGCGCCTGCGCCTGTCGCCGCCCGCGGTGCGCCGCCGCCGCGCGCTGGACTGCGACGCCGCCGAGCACGGCCGATGCTGCCGCCAGACGTACTACGTGAGCTTCCGCGCGCTCGGCTGGGACGACTGGATCGTCGCGCCGGAGGGCTACTACGCCAACTACTGCCGCGGTGCCTGCGCCCCGTTCCTCAACTACCACTCGCAGGTGGTGGAGGCCGCGCGGCTGGAGCGCGCCGAGTGCTGTGCGCCCGTGCGCTTCTCCGCGCTGTCCCTCATCTACTTCGGCGCCGACTCCAACATCATCAAACGCGACCTGCCCGAGATGGTGGTGGAGGAGTGCGACTGCCCGTAGCGGTTCCCCTGTACATAGCCTGCCGCTCGCCGAGCCGCCGCCGCCGCTCTCGCCGCCCCCGCCGCGGCACGCTTCCGCCGCTCTCGAATCCGATTTAATCCGAATCGATTATAAATAATATTCTCGACTTGTGTAATATTTTGTTCCTCGCGTTCGAAAGACTATATCCTAAAATCGAATAAATAAATATCCGTGTACTCGGGTCGTCGCGCGCGCGTGTCGTCGCGTGTGAGGAGTGAAGTGAGAAGCGTGGCGGGTCGTCGCGGACCCGCGGGTGCCGTTGATACTGTGTCGGGTGCCGCGCGTCGTCTGCCCGCGGGCCCGCGGCTCTTGCCGATACTGTGTCGCGACTGTTGCGTGACCCGCCCGCTCCGGAGCGGTGACGCGCGGTGCGAGGTGCGTGCTCGCGACGCCGTGTGTAGACGGCCTAAATAATTTAATACTACGCCGTTTTCTTTCACCCCGTTTGGTGATCGCTTGTAATTATTGTAAACTGTATTATAATAATTATTATAATTATAATTATAATAAATCAACTTTTTCATAATTATTACCACATTTTTTATTTTCGCTTTTCAATTCTTTACTATTTACTGGACAAAATAGAACACTATACTGAAGATCCGATATGAAAATTAGCAAGACGAGAGAAGTTATTGCTTGTTTGATTGAATCCGCTAAACTCTCGTTTTTTCAAACATGAAATGGTCCATTCTTGGAGAAAATTATATGCTGCCTATCATCACGCTATGAAACGATCCTAAGAAATACATATATAGACATATTTATGTACACAAATGCTTACACGGAGCTGCAATCGAACCCGCAAATATAATAAACTAGCGAACCGTCCGTCTTTGCGCGTTCGTAAGTTATATCATTTTTAAATTTCTCTGAAGTTCGGCCTATCTACCTAATTGATTTTTCTGCTGATTTGTTAAAAAGTTAGACTTGTTTTTAGTACATACACGTATGTATAAATATTTTTTGAAAAAGTATCTAACTATTGTTGAAAACTGCATCAAAATCCGTTGAGTGGTTTAGGAGGAGTTAGTGGATGAAAATACGGTTAAAAAGTCTTTGTTCTATGTTATATAAAGATAAGTAGAGAGTAAAGTAAACAAAATTCAACTTTGAAAAGGATTTAATCTCTTAAAAGTCACTTAAATGAGGATAATATGAATGATTGCCTCAGTAATATAACCAACAGAGACACAACAACATAAAAAACCTCAGCTGCCAAAATTTCAAATTTGTAGCGTCAGCGGTTTAGGATCTGCGTTGATGAATCCGTCAATCAGAGCATGTAATTTCATATGTACCTATAGATTATTATTGGTTCGAGTCATCATCAACAGCCTTTACTAGTCCACTGCTGGAAATAGGCCTCTCCTTAGAAAGGAGGTGTTGGCCTACTATACCACGCTGGCCAGACGGGTTGGTATAGAGTGTGTGTCAAGTTGTCCTTCTCTCTGCAGTGCTGTTGTCCTGCGTAGTTTGCTCCCTTAGTCGTCTCTTACGACACCCACGGGATGAATAGGGGTGGTGAGACTCTGTATTCTTAATCCGTCACCACACGGACACTGATATATATACTGATATTCTGACTATTGGTTCGAGTGCCTATTGCTATTTGGACCATTTCTACGATTTTGTATCACAGTCTGGTGTCATTAATTACACCACTAACAGAGACCGTGTGGTGACGGACTAAGAATACGGAATGTCACCACCCCTATTCATTCCGTGGATGTCGTAAGAGCCGACTAAGGGAGCAAACTACGCAGGACAACAGCACTGCAAAGAGAAGGAAAACCGAAACAAACCCTATATCAACCCGTCTGGCCAGCGTGGGCTAAAACCTCCTTTCCAAGAAGAGGCCTATGTCCAGCAGTGGACTGTTATAGGCTGTTGATGATATTGATGTTGATGAACAGAGACGAGACAAAAATTGCAACAGCATGAATATAAGAATGACTCAATGACTGAAACTCAAATCAGAGGTAGAGTTGACCGACCCGACAATCCAAAACGATTGTACTGGAACCACAAATTAAAGAAATTCGACTCCGACGCTTCCTTTCCTGTGTACCACTGGCTGTTCCCCTGGTAGTACAGTGGCAGATAAAATTTAAGTGGACTCCGAAACTGAGCGAGGAAGAAGAAGTAGTTATTGCTCGGCTTTTAGGGTCGTAAGCAGTTTTTTTTGGGCATAGGAGGCAAACGGCATACGGGTCACTTGATGGTAAGTGACTGACTCCGCCTATGGACACCTGCAACTTGAGAGTCATAAGTGCGTTGCCGCCCTGCAGCTCAGGTGACCTCATTCACTCGGTTAAAAGCAGCGAGAATTTTCGGGTTTTCTGTAAGACCGTGGTATTACCCCGGTCGAGTCGGCCTGTATGTGGCGAAACATGACTCTCCCACAGTAAAGGCAGCAACGGGTGACAAAGCATTTGTGTGTCTTGTGTTGCACTCACTTACCATAAGGGCCTCAATTCTGCTATTTAATATTGTATCAAAAGACTATCGATGGAATGTCGTCGGAATAGTTTTGCAGTTTTCGTATTCTATTAATTATGACCAATGGCCTCCCGATGACTTGTCACTGATATAAATGACGTTGATGTCTTTGTAACAGTTTGGTAAGAGGTAAATTTTAAATTTGTAAGAAAATGATTTATTTATTTTTCAAGGTATGGCAATAGGTATCACCATTGAAGACCTATATTACTATATCGCTAATCTATTGACACTGTGAATTTAAGTTAGTAGTATACTAATATTCTGACCAATGTCAATGGCGTCTCAATGGTATCTCAATAGCCTGTCAATGGAATGACAGTGACTTGTTAACATAAAGTATCAGAATTAAGTTCCTGGTCACCAGTTTGTTTGTGCTTGATTGATGGGAGAGAAAATTGCTTTTTAAATCGTACTACAGCGCCATCTATGGAAGACATACTGAACTACGAAGTAACTGCTAATACTGTATCGCGATATGAATTATTCTCTCGCCGATTAGCATATATTTGTACAATATCCTAACATCAACCGTTGGGGCCTGGCCCTGGCCACCTCGCCTGATGATGATGACGCCGGATGATCCTCCCTTTGTTTTGGAAGGACTTGACACCCATAGCGTCTTCGCTAGCATAGTAATTTCTTATTTCGTGTTTTAACTTTGAAAATAACGAACTTCCATTCCGTAACCGTTCATCCCTTATTTTACCTCTTTATGGGTGAAATTCACAAAAAGCCTATCTTATTGGGTGCTTACAACATAAAAAGCATCACCTTCCAAAGTTTCAAGTTGTTAGGCTCTGCGTTGGGGAATCAGTCCGTCAGTCAAGGCAAGTAATTTCATGTGTATACAGGGTGTGGCGTAAATGGTGGTGGCGTTATTCATGGGATGGCAAATCGTTTTAAAATCTGTGTTTAGTAGGAATATTTTAAAATGGATTGGCACTGACAGTGTAGTTACTTTTTTTTACAAAAATCATAAGTATTAACGCAACTAAATTTTAAAATGCATTTTGAAATTGGTATTTAGTAGGCATATTTTTAAATGAATGGGCACTGACAGCTTAGTACGATTTTTTTACAAAAATCGGTCTTGAATTAGCATGATATGTTAAAAATTTGGGTTAAAAGTAGAGTGAAACCAATTTTTTTCTTCAAAAGCTTTAAATTTACATTAAAAACATGTTATTTAACGATAGCTCTAGTATTCAGCAGTAATTACCAGTCATCAAAATGAAAAAATAATGGTATTTGTTAAAACTACAACCAAATTTGTAACAAGAGGTACACATATCGTAAAAAAATGAAAAAAAATATATATTTCCGGAACCTTTGGGTAAAAATGGATAAAATTGTAATATGTTATAGTAAATTATCTGGTTTATCGAATCCTTAATGGTGGACCACTATTTACGCCACACCCTGTAGATTATTATTAGTTCGAGTGCCTAATGCTATTTGGACCATTTTCGGTGTTTTGTAGCACAGATTGATGGTATCTGGTATTATTAATAACACCAAACGTGTTCACGGTCACGATTGATTTAATCAATTCAATTGATCAAATCATTAGGTAAATTGTATTGTACATTATAAATATTTTATTGAATTTTACAATAGTTTACTAGGTTTAAATCAAACCCGTTACTCCTTTGTTATTTTGCATTTTATTTTTAATGCCTGGATAAAGTTAATAGTAAACTACGGCATCTTAAAAATGAGCGAGATTTAATCTATTCTTATCTTATATCTTATCTTATCTTATCTTACAAATAAATAAAATTGGAGTGTCTGTTTGTAATATTAAAATAACCACTTTTTACTAAATGCATATGTATGTTTACACGATACATATGCCAAAATAATATTTTTTACAATTTTTGTCTGTCTGTCTGTCTATCTGTCTGTCTGTTTGTTCCGGGTAATCTCTGGAACGGCTGGACCGATTTCGACGGGACTTTCACTGGAAGATAGTTGATGACATAAGGAGTAACTTAGGCTACTTTTTTTAGACTAGCATCGCCCCGCGGCGTTGCCCGCTGTTATAACAACAAACGCGGGCAACACCGCGGGTCTCAGCTAGTCGTAAAATATAATGAGTCACGTTTTATTGTAGGCGTCTGCAGCAGAACATAGATAATGTTCTGACTTGTAGCAAGGAAAATCTTTAGAAATTTAACCCCAAAAAAAAATGTCACCATCACTTTGTCTCGTGCACGTTACCTTGTTATAATGTTGAAATCCCCTCGGATACCACCTGTCGGTGGCACGTCGAACTCGAACCGACTAAAACCGCACGCCGTCTCGGGTACTAATAGCCGGGGAACCAGGTATACCCTGGAAAGGAAGTCCCTGGTGCCCCGACATACCTCGGGCCATCTACAACAACAGGTAGACGACCCCCCCGTGTGGGAACCCCATGTTCCCTCTGCTCCCTGGAAGCGAGCGCGCTTCTTAAAGCGCTCGCCGCCACCCCG